GAACATCGTCTATAATATCAGCATCCATAACCTGGAGGAAAACTACAGTCAGGTGAGTTTGATTTTATTTTTATTTATTATTATTTTTATTAAATGTATATGTTTATGTTCTGGCTACATCCACGCGGACGAACTGACACACACACACATGCAACTACACATACACATATACACGCAAACACAAACATGCACACGCACATACACACTCAAGTATACATACGCACATACACAAACACACGCCAACTCACATACATACACGCAGACACGTGTGCCTGTGTCAGCATACATTTTTAAGATAAGTCTACACAATGGCCTTGTTTTAAGTCAGATAGCGGGAGATGTGCAGTGATTTCCCCTTTCTGAAACCAAAGCCAGCGGAATGCCACGCGAGGCTTTTCTTGATCCTGCGTCAACAGCGCGGCGGGTCATCCTATCCCAGCGCCGTCTACTGTATATCAATTAGCAGATCCTTGGCGCAGCAGTGTTTAGCCCTGCAGTTGCTGCTCGCTTAATCCCTCGGGCGCAGAGGGGCTCCTCCTCCTCCTCTGCGAGCTCTCGTGGGGAAAGCGGCGGCCAGATTGGGCTTACGTTTGGATTGCTTGCGATTAGAGAGTCCTTAACGACTCGGCTTGTGCGGAGGGGGGTGATTGCGGCGGATTGCGTGATGCGATGCCATTTGGCGACGGAAGTTGAGCCGAAAGACTTAAGGCGACAGAAGCCCTTTCACGCGCGATTGAAGCTCGACAAGTGCAAATTCGATCCCTTTAATATGAGCTAATGGTTCGGGTGAGTTGATAAACGCGGGCTTTAAAGGCGAACTTTTACTATTTAAAAAAAGCACATTTAACTTTCACTTCGTTCGCTATTAACCGATATTAGAATTAAGTTACTTTTTTTCCGAAGCGCCGAAGTTTCCCAAGAACGGAATGAAGACGATGAAGTCAACACAATTTTCGGATCGCTCGTCTCGCGGTTTCGAACTTTCCAAAACACGGGCGTTCATCCTTTGTAGACACGAGTAAGCTTTCGGCGATCATGCAGAGCCCCTGTGATGTCACGGGGAAAGCTCTCATAATAAAACTGCGGCAGAAACACGAGCAAAACACAGCTGTTGCTACTCGACCCTCCTCGAGCTCGGGCGCGAATCCACAAACACGGCGGAGCGATCGCAACAGCTGTCGCTTGTTATTTGCTCGTCGACGCCGCTGTCTGGCCTGCGGACGGGTCAGGTGGGTGCACGAGGGGGGGGGGAGGCAATCACGTGACTGGCCTGGTCACAACATCCGGTCACTGGGCCACGCACGCTACTTCCGCGCGACTCCCGCTTGCTGTCGCCGTGATACGTGACCGAGTTTCCCCGGGCTTCAAGGGCCGCGCACGCAACGCCGCCGATTTGTGTGGCCGCCGGAATGGCCGAATCGCGAGACTGCCTCTCGTTGGTCTTGTTCGTTTCTTTGATATTCGCGTTTCATGTTATTTTTACTCTTTTGTGAATGTGTTGAAGTGCATGTCCCGCGGTTTCATTTGATCCTGAGCCCCGAGCGTCATAACGGGAGTTTTGCGTGGCGCTGCGCCTCCGCCGCCGCAAAGCCCCGTTCGGTTATCAAGCCGAATTAAACGTTTTAGATTCTCAAAGGCTTTTTGGTCACAAACAGCCCGGCGCTCTGTTCCCCAGCCTTGTAATTACTGTAACGGTCAGAAATGAATCGGTGGAAACAATGTATTTTACGTTATTCGAAGACAGACCCTGTATATATATATTGGTGGGGGCGGGGGGGGGGGGGGGGCGATAAACCCAGAGGTGTCATTAGTTCGTTGTTAATGCCTGGAAGTTCTGGAAGTTGGCCATCTGTAGTCCTCGACGATGCCGCCGCCTCTTCTTCCTCTTCCTCCTCCTCCTCCTCCTCCTCCTCCACCCTGCTTTTATTCCTCATCTTTCTCCTACTCCTCCTCCTCTTTCTCCTCCCCCTCCAATTCCTCCTCCTCCTATTCCCCCTCTCCCATTCCCACCATCTTCCTTCCTCCTCCTCTTCCTCCTCCTCCTCCTCCTCCTCCTCCTCCTCCTCCTCCTCCTCCTCCTCCTCCTCCTCCTCCTCCTCCTCCCCCCCCTCCAACCCCTCAAGGAAGAAAGGCAGGGATCGCCAGGGAAAGCGCGTCACGTCCGTACCCAGGCATAATCTAACACTTCCTCCGCGAATGAAGGCTTTTAGCGCAGTAAATGCCGGTTGGCGCGCGGGAGCTCTCTCGGTCGTGGCGTCGGCGGCTCGGTTCGATTCACCTGTTGGAGGGCATTAGCGCTATATTGTTACATTAGCATTTTATTGTTGTTATAATTGTTGGTTTTATTATTATTGTTATTATTAGTGGTTTTATTGTTATTATTGTTATGATAATGATACTAATAATTATTATTCCTTTTGATGTAAATGTTATTGTTGATATTATTATTATTATCATTATTACTACTACTGCTACTACTACTACTATTATTAATATTGTTATTTTACTTTTTATAATATCTTTTTGTATTGTTATTATCAGTACCAGTATCATTAATACCATGGTCATCATTGTCCTTACTATCACCATATGACTTGAAAAAATATTAATGTTTATTTTTCTGCGATTTCAGAGAATAGTTTGGTACTCCACGGATACGGATAGTTCCGTGTGCTTCAACAAGGGCAAGTCTGTGGTAAGTATTTTTTCTTTTCTTTCTTTTTTTTTTATTATGTTTCTCCTACTTTTGCCTCTTTCTGTTACTTCTTGTCGGTATTTTTCGCTCTATCTCTCTCAATTTTTAGTCGTAATAAAAAATAGATTTGTAAGGCATACGATCTGCTTCTGTTGTTACTGTAGGCCTATGTCCAATCCCCCTTTTCATCCCCCCCCCCTCCTGCCCCTGCGCTGGTTGTCTAGACTTTGAGGTTATTGACGCCTCCCCCCCCCCCCTCACCTCGCTCCCAGCACGAGGTCAAGGGCCGTTCATTTGATTGACTGCATGATCATTCTGCATGATGACCAACCCAGGGAAGACCATGGGGATTGGGCGAGGCTTAGTGGGTGCAGTGCGTGTGATGGGCGGCCAGTGGGCGGAGGGAGCTGGTGCGGGAGACGTGGGCGGGCGTCTCGCTTGCCTCCCTTCGTCGTGGGAATAAGAGATATACAGACGGGTTTCCATTTTTTTTCTAATTTTCGTCATTTCGGGCAAGAGCAAGGGTATTTGTCTTTTTTGGGATTCTTTATTTTCCCTAATTCTTTATAAAAAATCTGAAGTAATTGCCAAGTAATGCAATCTTTCAATTGATCAAACCTGGAAGTAGCGATTTTAATAGGGGCTTCTGTAGGGGGCGTCGAGGGGCGGCCGCGGCTCCCATCTCCCGTCCCTTTGATGTCCGTCGCCAGAGCCTGTTAATTGACACTAATGCCAGTCATCTCTGTGTCAGCGGAAGCGCCTCGGTCCATAGAAGACAATAGCAATAGTAGTGGGATGTGCTCTCTCTCTCTCTCTCTCTCTCTCTCTCTCTCTCTCTCTCTCTCTCTCTCTCTCTCTCTCCATGTGTTTGTCCATCTTTCTTTCTTTTTCTCTTTATGAATATTTATGTCTTTGAATCTAGCGGCTGAGTAGCGTGCTCTTCGCCAGTCACTGTTCCGCGAAGCGAGGAGAGGGGGGCGTGTTCCCCGTCTGCAATGTTGCACAGTGGGCGGCGCATTGCGAAGGGTCTGTTAGGGCCATCACCTTGTTCCCCTTCCACGTCAGGAGCGCAGGAGATACGATGTTTTCCGAGGCAGCCGATGATAGTAGTGTAAACGCGAGGGAGTCGTTGCGCGGACGGCAGTTGTGCGGGTTGGCTTAAACGTTTCGCTGGATGGCGCTTTTGTAAATATTTCCTCTCTCTCTCTCTCTCTCTCTCTCTCTCTCTCTCTCTCTCTCTCTCTCTCTCTCTCTCTCTCTCTCTCTCTCTCTCTCTCTCTCTGGAGGTTTTCCCACAGCCCGGGACCCCAGGATGGTCCACCGGATTGAACCGTGTCTCATGCATTGCAAAAATGCTACATTGACTTCTTATCAATGGACAGAAACATGGGAGGGTTATCGCCGAGGGAATAACCCTTTTGGACGCAAAGGTCACCATGACGCTGTTTTTGTTTTTGTTTTTTTGGCCTTTAAGCGGGGTTCTGGTTCGTACTTCAAATAGTGGAGAGAAATGGGGAGAGAGAGAGACAGGAGAATGTCCGCGTCACGTGTCTTCCTGGTTCATCTGTCAGGCTTCTGTTGTGTTTAAGAGAGTGCTTGCAAAGGAAGAAAAAAAAGGTAGACTTTTTTTTCTTTGATATATTTCCTTCTTTTTCGTCTCTGGCACCTTGGGACGTTGAGCGAACTAAGGACGCATAACTAGGGCAGCTTAGGATGGGGCGAAGGAGGTTTATGGTGTGGAAGAAGGTGGTTTGTGCCTCCGTGCGGGCCTGTGTCTGTGACTGATGAGTTCGCCAGGTGTGTGGGGGGAGGGGAAGGGGGGGTTCAGGTGGTAGGAGGGTAGGGGGGAGGAGAGGAGAGAAGTGTTTGTTTGTGTTCGCCGGTCCGTATTTGTAGACGCTAATGGAATTAACCCCTGGCTTGCCTAATGAATAGAGTGGGGGCATTTCACACGAGCCGGAGAAGGAAGAGGAAGAGGAGGAGGAGGAAGGAGGGAGGTGAGAAGAGCAGTCTCGAGGCGCAATCTGTGCCGGATTTCCTATCACTCCCCAGAATGAGATTGAGGTGTTTGTTTTCGTTTCGTGATCGATTTGTTTATTGTTGTGTCTGATCGCTTGTCCAGACATCTCATCCTCAGTCAGTAGCGAGTCCTCGGCGCTGGAGGTTCCTTGGGTGGAGGCGTCACTGCGGTCGCTTGGTAATTGTAATGGGGGCATCTAATTACACGCGCGAATAGGTTGATACATCCCCAATTTATGGCGAAACCTCACTCTCCCTTATGGCAAATGATTAAAAGGATATTATAAATTTCCGACGGCAGAGCACATCGTCAGCGAGCATTTAAATTTTGAAAAAAAGGCGAAGTGGACGGCGTAACGGTGGCGCGTGCACTGGCCCAGTTTCGTGTCTTAAAAAGTTTGGCGGTAAAATATCGGAGGGGGGGGGGAGGATGGAAAGGTGGATGGAGGAAGAGGGAAGGAATGCGAACGCTCGCGAGAGTAAGCTGAATAAAGAGGAAAAGAGACGAAGAGAAAACGAGGGCCATTTTGACCGGGGCTGGAATGACTCCTCATGAAATCGTTTTCGACGAGATTAATCTGATTTCAGAGGTAAAAAGACCCGTGTGTGGTGCGCCGTTGAAGCCGAGATTGGACCCTGCCTGTAGGGATGGCCGCTGCCGGGCGAGCGGGCGGCGACGGAGGCCGACTGCTCTGATGTAGGCCTATGTGTCGGAATGGTGGGGGACCCGCGGCGAGAGAGAAGGCGGCAGACCTCCCCGGCGATTCCCTCGCGGCGTCACCGCGACACAACTTTCTCGGGCAATTACGTTTCATTACGTCCGAGGTGGAGTTGTAGTGGTGTGTGTGGCGGCGCTGCCCCCCCACTGCGGCTTCGTTGCGGCGGCGGGGCTTTGGTGCGTGCAGGAAATGCGAGCGCGATTTAGGGACGAGGCACTTCTTCGTAATAACAGTTTGCTATTTTATGTGCGCTTGTGCGGCTTTGTAAACTCGCCCCCGTGTATTTGGCCAAGATTCATAAAGCGGCTCATTCGTAATTTGGCCTAATGCGTTCCCCGATGCAAATTGCTTGCGGTTTTGATCATGGCGTATTTCTCTCTCTCTCTCTCTCTCTCTCTCTCCTCTCTCCCCTCTCTCCTCTCTCCTCTCTCCTCTCTCCTCTCTCCTCTCTCCCCTCCTCTCCACTCCTTTCCTCTCCTCTTCTCTCTCTTTCTCTTTCTCTTCCTGATTCACGTACCCTTATACCACCGGCTTCAGAGTCCCTGCCCGAGCGAGCACTTTGGGAAGACTTTCCCTGCTGCCATCTGAAGCGGACAAGGATGGGGGGGGGGGGAGATTCCATCTGTCGTCGGCCGGGGATGAAAGGATTAGATCCGCTGTTATTTTGTTTGTTGTTCGCCTTGATTTTGCTGTCGGTCTCCTTCACAGGGTTTGTTCGTTTGTATGTAAAAAAAAAAAAAAAAAATCGTTTTTTTCTAAGGTGCTTAACTTGGCAGTGGTTTAAAGGGTGAGGCGGGTGGCAGGTGGGATAGGGAGGAATGGGGGTGGGGGGGACAGGGAGGTGAGGGTCATGTCTAGGCGGTGGCACTGCTGTAGGGCGCCCTGCAGTGACGTCACCGCCCCCTTCGTCTGGCAAGCCACAGCTGACGTGCGACGAAAATTAATTCAAATGTTTGTCATGGGAGGAACCTTGGTCTGCTTTCTGTGCTAGGCCCCTGCGGTCTCTCTCTCTCTCTCTCGCTCTCCCCCCCCCCCCTCTCTCTCTCTCTCTCTCTCTCTCTCTCTCTCTCTCTCTCTCTCTCTCTCTCTCTCTCTCTCTCTCTCAAAATTGCCAGCCCGCTCGTGTCTCCCTCGGTTGGTTGACAACGATGGACACACACATAGAGTAATCCCCACTGGGTGTCCTCCCGTGACTCCTCGCCTCGGCCACACACAGCGGGGAAGCTGTCTGCCGCTATCTGCCTCTCCTCTCGGGATCAGACGCCTCCTATCTATCTCCTCGTCAGGCTGTCAACACGGGCTTCTCCGCGACGGGGCTGCTCGCTGGGGATTGCTGGTGACGCCTGCCCCCTCCCCCCCCTTCCCCACGCCCGCGGACGAATTACGACACGCCCACGCATTTCTTTGCATCAGGGAGGGAGGGGGGAGGGAGGGGGCAGGAGGGTGCGTCTGTCTCGTATCTGTCGCGGGATTTTAAACGTATCCTATTTTTTCCTTTCGTGTTGTACCAAGACAAATAAGTGTTAGATTTACGATTGACAGTGAAGATTATCAATAATGAATAAAAAAGAAGGAAAAAAAAAACGTACAAGTGCAGGTTTATGAATTTTATGTCCTTGTCCGTGAATAGTCCTAGTTGCCGTCTGTCTTATCATATATATTTTTTTCTTCTTCTTCATTTTAGTGAGCGCAAACTTTATTTTCGCCTTTCATAACTGCATACGTAAGTAGGTTCTCCTCTTTATGTGCGCGTAGGTCGAGAGCTCTTGGATTTCCGGGCTATTTTGTATTATAAGACTCGGGAGGAAAACTTAGTTTGGGTGCGAATGTTAACCTGTTTGTGTGCATTAGAATTTAAAGAGACGCTCGCGAGCAGGGACAGCTTTCAAGGGCGAGCTTTGGAGGAGGAGGAGGAGGAGGAGGTTCTCGTGGGAGGTCGGGCTTGATGTCACTCGCGGGGCTCTCACCTTCGCGCGCTCTTTTTTTCTTTCTCTTTGCTGCTCTCTTTCTCTTTCTATTTCTCTCTCTATTTCTCTCTCTTTCTTTCTTTCTTTCCATCTCTCCTTTTTTCTCTCTTTCTGTCTCTCTTTCTTTCTGTCTCTCTTTCTTTCTGTCTCTCTTTCTTTCTGTCTCTCTCTCTCTCTCTCTCTCTCTCTCTCTCTCTCTCTCTCTCTCTCTCTCTCTCTCTCTCTCTCTCTCTCTCTCTCTCTCTCTCTCCGTAAGACTAATAGGGAAGACGTCGACATTAGTAATAGCCTTTGGTATTAATTAAGTATTGTTGCAAACATCATTCTTTGTGTCTTTCCGACAGAATAATTCTACTGTTAGGACATGTGTTACGGGGGGAGAGGGGGAGGGGGAGGGGAAGTTGCTGGAATGGGGGAGGAGAGGGGTAGCTGGAGTGGGGGGGGGGGCGAGGGAGGGGGGCGAGGAAGGGGGGAGGGGAGCCAGTAACAAAGGGTGCTCGTCTCAACCCGCTAATGAAGCCTGATTCTTAAGATTATCAGCCGATTGTTGTGCAAATCATCATGTTGTGGAGGGTGGGGGGTGGGGTGGGGAGGCGGAGAAGTGGAGGAGGGGGAGAGAGGGGGCGGGGGGGGTTGATGTCATTTCATCTCCGGAAAGACATTTCTGGAAAATGTTTTCGCGTTTCCAGGAATGTCATCTCTTGTGTCTGGCGAGTTCGAATTGGGTTGTTGTGATGCTGGTGATGGGGGGGGGTGGGGGGGGGCTACGCGAGTGGAGAAGGGGCATGGAGATGAGGATGGGGTTGGGGGGGGGGGTTGTGTGAGATGGGCGGCGGGAGGAGGAGTGAGGTTCAAAGGGGTTCTCTCATTACCATATAATGACTGCTTGTCTCGCAGGACGCTGTCGAGCTCCTTCGCCTCCTCCGTCAGTTGCTGCTCCTTCCCCTCCGCTGTTGACAGGCCGAGAGCGATGCCAATGGCGGGGCTGAGAAATAGGGAGAAGGAGAGATAGGGAGAGGGTGAGGGAGAGGGAGAGAGAGAGGGGGGGAGAGGGAGAGAGAGATGGGGGGAGAGGGAGAGAGGGGGGAGAGGGAGAAGGAGAGAGAGAGAGAGAGGGGGGGAGAGAGAGAGAGAGAGAGAGAGAGAGAGAGAGAGAGAGAGAGAGAGAGAGAGAGAGAGAGAGAGAGAGAGAGAGAGAGAGAGGAGTTTGAGTGAGTGTGTGTATCTGGATTGTGGAAAGGGAGGAGAAGATCGGAGAAGGGAATTCGATAGAGAGAAAAAAAACGATAATGAAGAAAACTAGAATAAAATAACAATACCAAAGCTAGCAAAGCATACCAAAAATAGACAGACCTGAAAAAAATCGATCAGACGAGGGGCTGAAGGCAAAGGGCGTGCGAGAGGCGTGGGCGGCTGTGTCGTGGGTGGAGAGTTATGGGCGTCATCACGACACGAGAGTAATTACCTATAACCTGTAATTACACACCTGAAGAAGAGTGGGGGGCGGGGGGGAGGGGAGGTAACAGGGCCGATTATGAGAAAATGTTGGGACTTTAGATCCTTGTAGTTCTAATAATGATACTGGATGATTAGTTTAGGTCTAGCCCTGAGAAAGATATTTGCCTTATAAATATTTTCATGTTTATGTTAAGATTACATTCATATTTCATTTGACTCTCATTCTGACCGGTTATTTGATTTTAATTTTGTTTTCCTTATTATTCTAAAACTTGTCCTCTCTTTTCCTTCCCCCACAGGCCGACTGCCAGAACTACATCCGGGTTTTGGCCAAGGAGGGCGACGGGCAGTTCCTCGTCTGTGGCACCAACGCGTACAAGCCCCTGTGTCGGCACTACGCTCAGCAGGTAAGGACGCCTCCCCACCACCCCCAGCGTATCACGTAGACTCACGCAGTCATGCACTCAACTGATTTTAATGTGTGCGTGTGCATGTGTGTGTGTGTATGTGTATGTGTATGTGTCTGTGTCTGTCTGTTTTTCCATCCATCCGTCCGCGTGTTTTTCTTTCTGTGTCTCTCTCGTACAAGCATATCATTAAATGTTTGTTATGCTTTGTCGTTTGAATCCATCCTTGTCACGCCTCCGTTTGTCTACAAACAAATAAAGACATCCTTTTTTTGTTTTTCGAAACGCTATCCCTCCACCAGCTGTGAATACCTCTCTGGCATTCATAGCTGAGTGAAATTATTTCCCGTGTCTAACTGGTAATTTTTTCTGTAACCAAATAACTGTCGCTGTCTCTTCCTCCACGTCACTGTCTTTATTATCTCTCTCTCTCTCTCCCTCTCTCTCTTTCCCCTCTCTCTCTCTCTCCCTCTCTCTCTCCCTCCCCCCCCCCTCTCTTTTCCCTCTCTTTCGCCTCCCTCCCTCCCCCCACATTTTCCTCCTGCTCCCCCCCCCCCCGCCCCAAACGACGTGCGGGCGGCCCCCCACCGCCTTCGTCGTCTCCGTCGCCGCCCGGCCCGGCCTCCACCGAGCGCCACACCAGCAGTGTCGTAATCGCGCAGGAACGTGCGAGAGACGCTGGCATTAAGATCTCTAATAAAACAGGCCGAGTGCAAGAGGAGATTGCCGGAAGATGCAAATAAGTAGCGTGACGAGAGGCTTTATGGCGGCCGCATGTAGATGAGGCTCCGACCCCGCGCCGCGCCACCCGCACTCGCACCTCGGCGTGGGGTGGGTGGGTGGGGGGGAGGCTGTGCTCTCCCTCCTCCTCGTGCTGTTGCTTCGTTCTCCCTTCCTTCTTCCTTTCTCCTCTTGTTCTTCTGTTTCTCCCTTTCTTTCTCTCCTCGTACTTTTTTTTTCATCCTCCCCAGAATCACGAAAAAAAATACCCGTAGCTTTGGCCTATTCAAAAGACAAACACACACACACACACACACACACACACACACACACACACACACACACACACACACACACACACACACACACACACACACACACACACACACAGACAAACACGTACATAGATCTGTTCAGTTGTTTTAAACCTATAACATGCAAGGTGAAAAAAATACATAGCTCCCCCCCCCCACACACACACACACGGCACTTACGCATCCCCTGCACTCCTCCCTTTGCAAAGTATGACATTCCATAAGGTGGCGTTAATAATAGACAAGGTGTGTATGTGTCATTCCATCTCTTCACTTGTCTGTCTCTTTGTCTATCTATTTTTTTGTGTGGGTGGGTGTGTATGTCTGTCTGTTTGCGTGTGCTTTTTTTGCGTGCGTGTTTGCGTGTCCATGTGTTTTATGTGTGCGAAGGAAAGGTAGGAAGGGCATAAGGGTCGGGGGGGGGGGGTGCACGGGGGCAGGATGGGCGCCGGGTGGGAGCTGATCAAAGACTTGGCACCGACGGTGGTCCTTATGCGGCGCCGTGGTGAGAGCCTTTGGTTCCGTGGCAGGGGACGGCTTGATATTTATGACCTGGACAGATTATATATATATATATATATATATATATATATATATATATATATATATATATATATATATAATATGCGTGTGTGTGTGTGTGTGTGTGTGTGTGTGTGTGTGTGTGTGTGTGTGTGTGTGTGTGTGTTTAATAAAACTCTTTTACTTTTGATTTTTTTCACAAGCCGGTCAGGTGAAGGGAGAGTAAGTGGCAAAGTAAATATAGATTTTCAAGGCATGTCTTGCAGATATATCTGTCCCGTGTCACCTGTTATCTGTTACCTGCTTTGAGCCGATGTCTTCTCAGTGTTTGCACCATATGAAGCTCCTCCTGGCGTGCGGTACGTTATATGGCGGCCAATTTTTCAGCCAATTTTCCCATTAGGAGAGCCAGGCCCGCCGTTCTTGGGGGACATCGAGACGAAACTCACTCGGGTTGGGATTGACGGTTTTGGCTTAGTGTGGGGGGTGATTACGCTGCTTGTTTTCTGCTGACGGGAGTGAATAAATCCTGGGGAAATTCCCAGGCTCTCTCTCTCTCTCTCTCTGTCTGTCTGTCTGTCTGTCTCTCTGTTTCTGTCATCTTCCTCCCTCTCCGTCTTATCTTCCTTCCTCCTTTTCTTTTTCTTCTATAACTTCTACCTTTTCTTCTTTATATTCTCCGCCTCTCACTCATACTCTCTACCGTTTCCTGAGAATTGCCACCTCAGTGCCAATATATATTTTTCGTCTCTTTCCAGGCGGACGGGAGTTTCAACTTCACGGAGACGAACGGCGCCGGCCAGTGTCCCTACGACCCGAGACACAACTCCACTTACGTCTATGTTGGTGAGTATTCTTTCCGGATTTTGTTTATGGTCTGATTTTCATAATTATTGGGTCTGAGTTATCTGTGCTATCGATATTTGAAGGGAAGTGTGTGTGTCTGTGTTAGGTGTCTCAAAGTAACTGAATATAGTAACAAAAGAAGCATTACTATCCAGTATTGTTTTGAATAATTGGTTTTGTTAAAAGAACCGACTTTCATAATGCGTAGAAGTATAAGAACCTGGAAACGAGGTTCTGTAAGGTTCACAAAGGTCTCTACTTATGTACAGTGTATGTAAATGGCCCTGAATGGCAGCAATCAGTGGGGTAATTTAGGCTAATATTATACTGGTTCTCCTCAGATATGGTGAAAGCCACATAGACAGTCGGCGAATTGTTGGATAGTGTTGACGTGACGAATATTGAAATTCGTTTGTTATTTTTGGGTTTGTTCAAGATATTTTCATGTTGCCGAGTCGTGTTGCAAGTCTTCATGCTGAAGTTTTAACGGACATATAATTGAATGATATTTAGTGGAGTCTTGTTCGGTATGGAACGTAAAGCGATTTGCATATCGACACGGAACCGAACATCGCCCCCCCTCATTTTTTTCACTCTCGGTCCCTCTACAATTTCTCGCCTTATATTGGCGCGCGCTCCTCGAAAATGGGCATTCACTTATGCAGTTAAACCCGATGATAGGACACAGCGCTCTGCCGGCCATCAATTGAGTTTTCGAGAAGGGTCGCCGTGATGCCTCCTCGTTCATTCTCGTTTCGGGTCAAAGGCAGAGGCTCGTTTCGTTTCGTTTCGAGGCTTCGGGACTTCAGGGGGAGGAGGGGGGGAGGAGGAGAGATTTTGCGCCGGCAGGTCGTGTGTTTTGGTTGCACAACAAGATTTGTAATTTGTTTTAGTTTAGCTTAATTCAGTGGGAAAATAGTATTGGAGTTGCCGAGATTGCTGGTATTGACATGTTTTGTTATTGTTATTATTATTATTATTATTATTATTATTATTATTATTATTATTATTATTATTATTACTTACTTACCTTTCCATTTACAGTTACACTTATTTTCTTAGATCTTCAAATATTCTTAATGTAGATCTTTGGTATATATTTTTCTTCCTCATTCGTTGCGTTTTCCTCATGCCTCCTTCCTGCACCTCCAGATGGCGAGCTATACTCCGGCACCGTAGCGGACTTCCAGGGGACGATTCCTCTTATCTTCAGGCAGCCCTTGAAAACGGACCACAATGACTACAAACAGCTCAATGGTAAAAACCCCTCGTTTGTTCTGTTGTTTTTGAGACATGTGGGTGTAGTTCCTTGCTTTTTTGTGGGGGGGAGGGGGTAGGGGGTAGTTTTATTAAAGAAATATGAATGTCTTCTTTGTCTTTTGGATCATGTATATTTATATATTTATTTTCATTTGTACATTTGTTTTTTGTATGTGTCTCATGTTTGAGGATCTAGGTCTACTTACACAAAAGATATTTTTTCTCTCGTCATGCAATTTTCTTGTCAACAAATAAATTGACGCTGACCTTGCCTTCGCAGCCCCGGACTTCGTGCACTCCTTCGACTACGGCGACTTCGTGTTCTTCTTCTTCCGCGAAACCGCCGTCGAGTACATGAACTGCGGGAAGCGCGTGTATTCCCGGGTCGCGCGCGTGTGCAAGGGCGACCGGGGGGGCGGCCCGCAGCGCTTGAAGAATTCCTGGACGTCCTTCTTGAAGAGCAGACTCAACTGCTCGGTCCCTGGGGGGTATCCCTTCTACTTCGATGAGATCCGTGAGTTGTGGAGCCGAGTCTCTTTGGTTGTGGGTTTGGTTGGGCTGATTGGAAGTGCGGTTAAGAGAGGTGCTGAGTCTGTGACTGATGGGTTCCGCTTTTTTTGGGCAGAGTCTACGACGGACATCATCACGGGCATCTATGGCGGGGAGAGCCACGAGATCATCTACGCCGTGTTCACGACGCCCCCGAATTCCATCCCGGGGTCCGCCGTCTGCGCCTTCTCCATGCGGGCCATCCTGGACACCTTCGAGGGGTCCTTCAAGGAACAGCAGACACTCAACTCGAACTGGCTCCCAGTGCACCTGTCCAAGGTACGTAGTTCGTGTAGCTCACTGCAGTTTTTGAAAAATGCAATTGAATTGCATACCTTTAAAAGAAATTGCGTTGTATTGTACATTGACTAGTGTCTTAACCAAGGATGACGACCTATTTTATTTATTTTTTCTTTTTCCCTAGGTGCCTGAACCACGGCCAGGAAGTTGTGTGGCCGACAGCCAGACTCTGCCGGAGTTCAACGTCAACTTCGCCAAGGACCACTCGCTCATGGACGAAGCTGTCCCGGGATTCTTTGGCCGCCCGCTCCTCATCAAGGCCTTCTTCGAGTAAGCTATCAGGCGGGAGATGTTTTACGTGTTGGGTTTGCACGTTATGTTGCAAACGGAGTTGACCTGTGTAGAACACTCGTATTATTTATGTCCACCTATTTCCGGATTTTTTTTCATCTTTTATAAGGCAGTACTCCCAGCTTTATAATAAAAGACAACGTCCTTCCAGGCACCGCTTCACCAAAATTGTGGTTGATCCGCAAGTTAACTTCCAAGACGGGAAGACTGTGGACGTCCTCTTCATCGCAACGGACGGAGGCATTATCTTCAAGGCCATTAATGCCCAGTCGTCGGCAGGTGTAGAGTAAGTATCCATTTTACAGAAGCTCCTTTTTTCTGTCCTCCTCCGATTTTCAGTTTGCGCTCTTCACCTTTCTTTTTGTTCTGAATTTATCATTTGTTCTATATTTCTTTTATTACTTCATTGTTTCTGTTGTTTTCGAATACAATTTCACTTTTATCAGATCATTATTAATATTTACCTCTCTCCTTTTTTTGCGTTTGCAGATCGATCGACCCCGTCATCATCGAGGAGATCCGCGTGTTCGACCGCCCTGTCCCCATCGTGAACATGCAGCTGGCCAAGCAGGCGGGCGGAGAAGGGAAGCTTATTATCATCACAGACGATGAGGTGAAATCCATTGATCTCCATCGCTGCCACAGAGCCTCGTCCTGCAGGTTGGTTTGATGACAGGATTTTGCTTGTTTATCTTTCTTTTTGTTTGGAGGGAGGGCGTTGGATAATGCCAAAGATATTTTTTTCCAAGTTGCAAATTTGTTTGTATTATTCAGTGATTCAGACTAGAGTTTTTTTTATTTTGACCCAATAGATTCATTTCATGTTTCATTTTTTTATTGCGATAGACAACTCTATTATTCACACCAATAAAACGTATTATCCTCGACAGCGCATGCGTTGGGCTACAGGACCCTTACTGCGGTTGGTTCGTGGGCCAAGGGCGCTGCGGTTCGCTCGGCTCCCAGTTCACAGGACCCGTCTTCCAGAACGTTTCCGGGCATCACTACCAGTGCTCTAACAGTGAGTCTCTTTGGGAGGTTATGAGTCCTTTTTTTGGGGGGGGTTTACGCGTCTGAAGGATTTTTGATCAAGATATCAAGGTCATTTTTTGTTTTTTGTTTTTCTTCTATCTGGCTTCATGCTGTCTGTCTGTTCCAATAAGTGGTATGTGTACCTTATTCATTCTTGTCTTGTGTCTGCGAATGACAGCCATTAATAATCATTGTCTCTTTTCAAGTTAGTAATTAGTTCCCATTAATATCATAACTGATAATGTACATAGGATGATAAGAATGAAACCCTAAAGGCTGTTTTGATACTTTTTTTTTTTGGCTAAAATGAACATCAAGTCTTTTTTCTTACAGACAAAACCTTTCCTATAGATGCTTTAGTCATGATAGCCTGACTGTGACATGAAAAATGCTTGCCATTTTTTCCTAGTTGTATAGAATCTGTTAATAAGTTCCAGACATGCAAATGCATCTGTTACGTTCCTGTGCAAAAGAGCTTTTTCTTTTAAAAAATAATCCTTTTACAAAATAATAACTACATGGAAATAGGAAAAACGATTTCATTAACTAAAAAATGTATAAAACAAAACCAGTTTTTTTTTCTCTCTTCTCTCTATTTCTCCTTTTTTTGTCTATATATAATTATTTCTTAATTTGTGTCCACCTAAATGTTTAGGAGACCTCATCAAAACATGTACTTGTAGACTGTGAATGTCCAATGTCTTGTCCTGTTGCATCATTGCTTTAGCATGGCCTACGCTTCATTACAGGCGATGACAATGATGTTTACAATCCGTCGACTCAGATCCAAACTACCGGTAAGTTTTGCCTTTTCTTATTATGATTGTTTTTAAATAATTGTAGAAGTTCATTATGTATATAATGTGTGGGAAGGATTGAGTAAGTTCTTTTATTTTTATTATATGAAGATACGTCATATGAGTTCATAATGTGTAATGTTGTTTGGTGGATGTGAATGTGTGTGGATGGTGGAGAATGTAATGTTTCTTTTTACAGTAAATGATCATCAACCTGAAATCTTTACAGTGCAATTGTAATCTGTTTCCTTTTATTATTCCTACACTTTACTTTTTTACAAATTATTAACTTCTTGTCCTTTTTGTTTTGTATGCTACTCATGTTGATTTCTCATCTTGAACGATGTATTTTGTGTTCCTTGAATTCTTTTTAATTATTGTTAACACTTTTTTTGTGATCCAGTGTCCTTATTTTAAAACGCTTATTTTTTCTGTAGCAAATTTCACATTGCACTCTCTCTCTAGTCTTTGCACCATGTCTTATGCACACTTAGATCGGTGCTGTTTTGTTTTCGTTTTTGTTTGTCTGTTATTTCTAGTTTTATTTCATGTTGCAATGTTGATCTTTCTGTAACAGATATGATTTATCAGATCTTTATTCTCGAAGTATGATATGGTATGCCTTCTGTTTTTTTTTTTTTTTTCTGTTTTTTTTCATTGGAGTTAAATTTAAAGTGCTGAGTTTTTTGTGAGTGAGAAAGTCGGGTTTCTTTATAAATACGTGCTGATTTTTGTGGCTTGTTGATCAACTTCAATATTCTTCAGTTTCTCCCTGTTCTATTTGATTTCATATGATGAAAATGGGGAATTCCTAGAAACAATAAGTAAAGAAAAGAAAAATAGTCACTATAATTTCCAATGCTCTAGATTTAAAAAAGGGAAAAAAAATATGTATATAAGATTTAAGAGCCTAAGAACGCCAAAAGAAGCACAGTATTTGCTAATGGTGGGCTTAGGGGGAGAGAAAGCCTGTAACCAAGTTGACGAGGGTTGCTCCGCTCGCAGAGGCCCCGTGCCCAACTGAGGTGGAGACCTGCGCCCCCTGTGTCTGTCCTGAGCCTCCCTCCTCACGCCTGCCCCCTGTTACTGAAGTTACCCCTACAGAGGGTCAGTTATTTGAACGCGGTGATGCGCACATTGCTATATCTGCCCACGTTGCTCTTGAGGGTGGAATTTTGTCCACTCTTGTGAATGTAGTTTTTTATATTTTTTTGGTTATGATTTCAATTCTTTAAAATATGTTTTTCAAATCATTTTGGTTTGCTGAATCACATTTGAGTGTTGTGGCACATATTGCACTGTGTAGCACAGAGGTTTTGCTCAGCATTTGGACTGAGCTTTAATACGTTGAAGTTAAAATTTCAGGTGGAAGATGCAAGTTGATAAGGTCTACCATGCCATACTAACCTGCATGTATGTGCTTCTTTATTGGATAGTAACTGTAATGTAGTTTTAAAAGGTGTATTTTCTTTATTTTTTTCTCGGATGTAGTTTTGATTAATAAAGTCTCCTTCATTTTCTTTAGCCACCAACTACTAACATTGTCCTTGGTTTTTGTATGTTTCTGTCTTACGAAATCTTCCTCACTAACTGTTCCAGGACCACAGCATGGGGTGTTCAAGTTACAAACTGTGACAGATACTGTAGATGAATGTCATATATATCATTTTGAATTGTTATTCTTGACTATATTTTTTTGTTGTATTTCACCTAAAAAGCACAGAATTATTTTTATGCAATCATATTACAAAGTCTTTTTTCAGTATTGATCCTAAATGTTTTCTTTTTTTTTCCTTCTCCTTTTTTTGGCCACAGGGTTTCCTTTTGCATGCTTGCAGGTGATGGATATGGCTAAAACCTAGATTTATTGATTTTTGCTTTCCAATGCAACGTAGCAGGAAGCTGACCTCCCGAATTTTGTGCCTGCAGGATCGGTTGATCATTCGACCATATATGATCCTCCTGTGGATGAGGATTATTCCTTCGTCGAGAGTAACAGAATTCCCCCAATTACACCTGCAAAGGACGTTAATGTGGCCAAGAGCAATGCCGTGCCAGGTGTCGCGCCGGAGGGGGACTTACCTAATGAAATTCTTGGGCCTCTCGGACGCGAACCTGGGATTGGCATCGCATATGCTGAAGGCGGCGTTACTGGTAAGCCTAGTCCACAATGTATAACAGGCAGGTCATGGGATGACATCACTAAACTGTTTCTAATATGGACTTTCTGTTGTTTGGGAGAAAAGAAAAAAAATGAAAGAAATCAGTAGAACACGAGATTCTCCTGTTCCCTACGAAGAAAGTCCATATTAGCATTTCGATGTGTGTCTTGACTCACACACTCACATGCATTAAGGTCCCACCTTATACCCTTTTCTTACTCACACCCAAAAAATATAAAAGGACTGACACAATGATTACACGATATTGTGGGTCCTCTTTTGACTTCTTCACGGTCTCTTCAGTTTCCCCTCCACTGCCCCTGGATGCCGTTCTATGTCTCCCTGACCAACTGTTGAATGCCTGCCCTGGCCCGACCCCATTGTCACCGAGACCTTTTGACTGCTGTGTGTAGTAAAAAAGTACTTTAGTCACCGTACTCTGTAGCTAGTATCACCTGTGCAGCAAGTGTAACTCACTTTTCTCTTCGATTTGATTACTGTTGCTTTGCATTTATATGAACCGTATTATTGTTGATTTGATTTTGTTTTGCTGTTGCATGCATGATTTGACACTTATGTGTTTGTGATAACTTTCTACTTGCTTTTGTACTAACCACATATGCCTTTAGAAATGCACATGAACAACTAACAGGCACAATTGGTAGTAGATATACCAGAATAATGTTGTTCATCTTCTAGATTCTTACTATAATTCCCAAAAAAGATCACAGAAATTTCACCTTTTTTGGCTTTTTTCAAGAACCCTTCACCAGTTAAGCCTAACAAAAAAAGACACCTGCTTTTACACTTCCCTTTGAGCAGCAGAATAAAAAAGCTAATCCTTGAATGGCTAAAACATTTACAGCATGGCTTTAATAATTCACTCAGAATAGAGTAGTTAAAAAAAAAAAAAAAAAATCAGAAAAAAAACGGATCATGAAATAATGAACATTTACTAAAAATATATAATTAGACTTGACCATATGACTGTGACCATAATATGATACAGTTTTTTGTGTATTAAATGCCATTTTAAAGTTTTTTTTTCCATTTTTATTTAATTTAGGTTTATTGTTTAATATGTAGAGTGACATAAAAGTAATGACTGCAGTTTGTATCATAATGTAAAATATATATATATATATAATGTAAAATATATATATATATATACTTTGTGATGTACAAGGCTTTGGAGAATTTACTTTTTCATGTTACTATACGAATAATGTGTGAATTAGCATTTTATATCTAGTGTGTTACTATCTCTCTCCTTCTGCCTGCCTATTTTTTGTTTTCTTTTTTTTTTTTTTTTCCTTTTTTTTTTTTTGAGTCTTTTGCAGAAATTATACTTCTCTCTCTCTCTCATTAGCTTTGCTCTGGAGCCAAAGAGAAAAACCATCGTAAGGTCCTGTCTTGCGATCTAACTCAATGTTGTTCTGTCTTGATTGTAGCTGTAGGTTCTAATTGTCCAGTCTTGTTCTTGACTGATTTTTATTTTCATTTTCTGTAGCTGATGTTCCTGTAGAAGTAATTAACACCAGATATTAATACAGAAGAAGAAAAAAAAGATTAAAAAGATTAACAAATATCTTTTTCTGTCATGCATCACCCCAAATTGATGATTAAATGATTGTTCATTGTTGATTATAATTGGGTAATGACTAAAATATCATCTCAAAATTGTTGAACAAAATATAAAAACTTATTTAATACATACATATTGAAACATACAATTCCTTTAAAATGCATGCACACCACACACACACACACAAATAAACATATGTACACACACACTCACATTCACATTCATATTCATTCGATCAGTCAATCACTCACAGACACATGCTATCTCTCTCTCTCTCTCCCTCTCCCTCTCCCTCTCCCTCTCCCTCCCTCCTCCTCTCTCCTCTTCTCTCTCTCCTATCTCTCTCTCTTTCCTCAATTCTCTCTCTCTCTCTCTCTTTCCACAATCTTTCTCTCTTTCCTCTATCTCTCTTTCTTTCCCCTATCTCTCTTTCTTTCCCCTATCTCCCTCTCTTTCCCCTATCTCTCCTTTTCTCTTCCTTTCGCTCACTCTCTTCCTTTGTCACACACTCTTTCTCTTTCCCCTATCTCTCCTTTTCTCTTCCTTTCTCTCACTCTCTTCCTTTGTCACACAGTCTTTCTCTCTCTCTCTTTCACTCTCTTTCTCTCTCTCTCTGTCATTCTCTTTCTCTCTCTCTCTGTCACTCTCTGTCTCTCTCTATCTGTCACTCTCTTTCTCTCTTTCTGTCACTCTCTCTCTCTCTCTCTCTCTCTCTCTCTCTCTCTCTCTCTCTCTCTCTCTCTCTCTCTCTCTCTCTCTCTCTCTCTCTCTCTCTCTATTTGTCATACCTGCATATCAATTCATTTTTATTTCTCCTTTTCAATGTCTTTCAAGATATTTCTGATTTCTTCCTACCTCTCATCAGAGTCCTCCATCATAATGTTCATTGCCTCTCACTCTATTCACTCACATGTTCTTTGTTTCTGTTTTCTGTCTCTATCAGCTTCTCACATAAATGACACCCACAGAAGCATCAGATCAACATAAGTTCCCAATGCTTAATGAACCAAAGACTCTGCATAAGATTATAAAACCCCTTTCTTGAAGTATGAACAGAGAGATAGCAGTGCTGTTCCTTATGAGAAAGTGTAACCATATGTGCTCTGATCCATATCTCTTGAAATGCACTGCTTTAGCATGTATGACATATTATATGCTTGAAAAGACAGTAAAAAAAGAAAAAAAAAAAAGATAAAAAGTGAAAAAAAAAACAGTAAGGTAAATTTTTGTATTTGAGGGTGATGGTTGGTTTGCTTTTTTGTGTATGATTTTAATTTCTTTATTTTCCTTTTTTTTTTAATTCTTTTTCTTTCCGCTATTAAAGTTCTCCTCTCTCTCACTCGCTCTGTTTTTTCTCCTTTTACCGTCAATGGGCCCAAGAACAAATTATGTGAGGCAAGGCAGGCAGAATGGACTAGGCTTACTTTTCTTTCTGAAACATGTATTGATTAACCATATATATATATATATATATACTTTTTTATGCTTCAACAGGGTATTCATTTTATTGTTATTTCTGTTATTGATTGGTTTCTGCATCGTGTTTTTGAAGAAGGGATGGAGTGCTCCGCTACACCTTTGAGTATTTCTGTGCGTTTCATGACAGTGCTATTCTGTCCATTCATTTATTTTCTTCCTTCCAGGTATCAGGCAGTCAACAGGCTGTTGCATGCAAATTTGTTTTTGTTATCCCTCTCCAAGTATTTTGGGGTGGCAGATATTTGAAGCTGTTTGAGAATAACACACATGACATACATGTGTGTGGGTGTGTATACACACACACACACACACACACACACATATATATATAAGCACGTATACATATATACATACATACATACATACACACATATACATACATACATATATATACACACGTATACATAGATACATATATATACACACGTATACATACATACATATATATGCACACGTATACATACATACATATATATAAATATACATAGTATATGTATGTATGTATATATATGTCTATATATATAATATACATACACATATATAATATATATATGTGTGTGTGTGTGTGTGTGTGTATATGTTTGCATGTATGTATGTATGTATGTATATATGTATATATGTATGTATATATATGTGTATATATGTGTATATATATATATATATATATATATATATATATATATATATATATATATATATATATATATATATATATATATATATGTATATATGTATATATGTATATATGTATATTCACACACACATCTCTCCGTTATATATGAACCTTCACACTAGTTCTCTCTCCATTCCTGCTTCACACTGTTCAATCTTCTCTCAACAGGTCCTGTGGTTGGTGCGTCCCTTGAGGGTCCTCCTATATATTCTGCCGAGACTCTAGCCATTGCCGTCACAACAGCCTGTGTTGCAGCACTGGTCATCGGTTTCATCTCCGGGTTCCTCTTCTCTCGCAAGTGCAGAGGAGATGAGTATGCGCACACATACTCTGAGACACCTTATTTGGACTCGAAGCTCAGCAAGTAAGTTGAAGAAGGAGGCTACAGATGTCCTGTCCTAAACTTGTTTGAGTTTTTATTGTTTGACATGCTATATTCTGTGTTTGAAAATCTATTCCTTCCCCCCTCCACAATAAGTCAGTGTAGAAAGGCTATAAATTTTTTTGTGAAATATTCTAATAGTTTACATGTGTGTGTGTGTGTGTGTGTATATATATATATATATATATATATATATATATATATATATATATATATATATATATATATATATGTAGGTATCCAATTAATATAATTTCTAATGCAATTCTTCTTTTGCAGACGAGACAACTTAGTACCATCAGCGGACCCAAACATGTATACGGCCAACAACAAACACATCAATAATTTAGTGACTAACTACAACCCCAAGAATATCAATGGCAAGTCCAATACCAACACTACTACGGACAGCAAGCTTCTGAAGCCTGCAAAATGTGCCTATATTTGAATTAAGGGGAAAGTCACATGTTGTTGTTGGCCAGATCTACTATTTTTTGTGTTTTAAGCAACACGCAAGTCTGTCAGTTACTTTATTAAAGGAAGGCTTGCAATGAAGGATCAGAAAATGTCATATCTGATGTGGCTTGAAGGTGAAAGACTTCTTTTTAATGTCACATATGGAAAAAAAAGGAAATAATATTCAGGAAAGCTCAAGTAGCCTATGGTTTTCCTATTATGGTACATATGACGAATGATCCTGAATTCATGATAGGCTCAGCTTACTGCAAATAGAAAAGAGAGATGAAAGTGCTGCACACACACACACACAGAAAAAAAAACATTCACAGGACCAAGTGCACAGTTGATTTCTCTATTCCCAAGTACACTAATGAAAAGTGAGATGTGAAAAGTGATTTGTATGAAGAGGACGCAGTGTGAGTGACTCCCATTATGAAATCAAGCCAGAAATCACAGGTTCTCATTTTGCAGGTTGTTGCTTTCTCAAGGACAAGGAAAAAGAGGAAAGTTAGTAGCAAATGCCAAACATTCCAGTCAGATGTCTCCTGTGTGGATGTGTTGGCCCTTTGGATGAAAATTCAAAATCTTAAGGAAAATGAGGTTTACAGAAAGTGGCAAAGGTGAAGAATAAGAGTAGAACAGAATGAAGATGTTTGCAATGGAGGCATTATCTATTCAGATACAGAGATTGGAAATATGTATGATACAAAAGAAAAATTTATATATATACTGTACATGCATATAAGAATGTAGGGATATATCACTGAGGAGAATTGAGAGAAGACAGCAGGTTTCCATACTGGTGGCCTGCTGTGTTATGAATGTCTTGCAGGGAAAGGGAGTTAGAGAGATGTTATGAATTGGATTTGCTCAGATGAAATATTAGAGCAACACAGGAACAACCAAAGTTATGTATTCAATATGTTATTCATTGATAGGCACTAGGGAATTACAGAGCATGGTTACTGTTGCAGAGTTCAGTATGTTATATTTTTAATTTGATCTGAAATCTGTCAAGTTTTTGTATGGAATTGATATTATTCAAATGATATAGCAGCGTGAAAACTGCATATCTCTTCATTCTGAATTTCTCCAAGAGAAGTTTAATGCAAATTGTTGAAATGTCCAAATTACCTCCAAAAGTTATTGTCTTCTGAAGAAAATTGATATTTACTATTACTGAAATGATTTTATTCTTCAAGAATAACAAAAGATATGTTAAATGTGTTCAGAGAGTTTAATGCCCAAAAGAAAGTTTATGCCTAAAATGATCTTCCCTTCAGCAGTAAAAGGTTCCACATATACCACCTAACTGAAACATAGTTTTTCAAATTGTATAACAGCACTTGTCAGCGTCCGTATCTGATGAAAATATGACTGTGTCCTTATTATATTCATGCTGCGAAGGCAACAGGTCGTAAAACTGATTTGAATGTGAAAATAACAGCGCATTATAAAGTTTTGTGTTGTATTTATTGTAAATTGATACAATGCTGTTGATTATAGTCATATAATGAGTGATCATAAGTTGGTTTGAGGAAGTTGTAGAAAGGTGCTAACCAAACCTGCATTTTGGCAGATTGTTTTATACTGCATGCATCCCACCTTTGACTATTCAGTATTACTGTACCGTACTCCAGTTGACAATGGGTATCTGCAAAGTCACTATGTTGGCTGAGGACTTAGTTGAGCACAGATTGAATGTAATCAGTGGTAATATCCTGCCATGTAAGGGAAGTGTTAGCAAACAGCTTAGGTGCCTACATAAATAGCTACAAATATGTTAAGTGTTGCATCCATATAGACGCCTTACAAGACTTTTATGTTAAGCGTTACCACCTGTTGCGACACAATTGTCTGTATATGTTGTCCTAGTGTGTCTGTACATTTGCTGTTGCTGTACATAATGTGTGAAAGTTGTGTAAGCTGCCATGCGAGAGAGAGACATAACTAGAATGCGTGATGGATATGAGTGACAAGTGCTTGTATGTTTCATTAATGTTGAGCTTCCCCAGTGACCCTGGACGGTATCCCCAACAAGGATCAAACAGTAACTTAACTAATAATGGAACGTGCCGAAACTGTTGACATATAATAGACAGTTCTGATTTCCTTGACGAAAGGAACAATATCTTATAATGTATTTAAAATTGCTGTTCATCACTCTCTTTGGATATAGTAGCTTCAAGTATTTCAGTATATTGGTGTTCGAAAAGCATTATGTGCCGGTGATATTTGTCTACGTAATGTCTTGTTAGTTTTGTTAAAGCAGTATTGAATGATTTGAATGCATATCATGAAAATGTTATTTTTGTCACAACTTAAGGTATGTATACAGAATTAATATCTGTATACTTTTTCATA